CAGGCGTGTGTTGCGTTTGTTCTTCTTGGCGTATTTGCACGCGTGTTGCAACGGCAACATCCTATTGCAGGGCCTGAACGATTTCGCCATGCGAGATTGATTTGAAAATGAATAAAAATTGAAATAATAAGATTAGATATATCAAAATATATCTATAGAAGTATGTTCTTATTTGGGAAATGTTATAAACCACTATTTGATTGAATAATCATTGACAAATTTGATTTAACAAATATTCTCCTATAAACCGGTACGGCCTCGAGGTCGCATTTCCCGTGCACCGGCAAGCCGTTGCAGCGGTACTCCGGCCGAATCGTAGTGCTTGCGGCGAGCGGCTATGCTTGTCCCGGTCTTTTCTCCGCGGTGCAAGCTCCCGCCTCTTCGCGCGGCTCGGAAGGCCCCGAAATGTTGCCGAAATTTCTGGGGGTTCTTAACAACTTTGCTTAGAGTTCCCGCGGCGTAACCCGGCCCGAATTTTGGGTCGCTTCCGGCGACGCGGCTCTTAGGTTTCCGGACGATACCCCCGCAAATTTCTTCAGAATTTGGCGGCTTTCCAAAATTTCGTGCCGGGTGTCTCCGTATCCTTGCCTCTCTCTGTGTGTCCCAGTCTGTTTCCGTGTGTCCGTATCTATTTGTTTCGTAATCTCTGTCTTTCTCTGTCTATCTTTGTGCATCTCTGTGTATCCCAATCTGTTTCTTTTTGGTGTTTGCGCCTCTCTGTCTCTATCTGTCTGTCTGTGTCTCTCTGTCTCTCGGGTTGTCTCGGTTTGTCTCTGTTTGTCTCTATGTGTCCGTGTCTGTCGTTCGTCTCTATTTCTTTGCGTCTTTTTGTGTCTTTCTCTTTATTTCCGCGTGTCCGCGTCTGTGTATTTTGTAATGTCTGTCTGTACCTGTCTTTGTCTTTATTTTTCTGTCTGTCTGCGCTTGTTTCTGCAGATTGCCACGTGCCGTATCTCCTCCTTTTAAGCTCCACTTTCTTCCTTCTTTGTCTCACTTTCTTCCTTCTTTGTCTTCTTTTCGTTTTTGATTGTTTTTATGATTGTGCCTGCCACTGCCTGCCTGCTTGCTTGCTTGCTTGTTTGCTTGGTTGCCTGGTTGCCTGGTTGCTTGGTTGCCTGCTTGTTTGCCTCCCTTTCTCACTCTCTCTCTCTCTATTTCTCTCTTTCTTTCTTTGTTTCTCTCTCTTTCTTTTTTTCTTTCTTTCTCTTTTTCTTTTTTTATTTATTTCCTGTTTTGTTTTTTTTTGTTTTTTCTTTCTCTCTTTTTTTGTTGTTTCTTTCTTTCTTTCTTTTTGTGTTTTCTTTGTTTTTTGTGTTTATATATATTGGTTTGCCTATTTTTTTTAATTTATTTTTATATTATGTTTTTTATTTTTTTCTTTTTGCTTTTTTCTTTTTTTTTTTTTCGTTTTTTTTGTTGTTCTTTTCTTTTTTGAATTCTTGATATTGTTATTGATGGAATTAATGTGGTTTTTAATATTATAAATATATATAATATTAAATAAATTTTATTATATTTATATTATGTAAAGAATATATTTATTTATATATTATAATTAAATTAATTATATTATATATTTTAAAAATATATATTTATAATTATAAATAGATATTTATATATAAAATAATATTATTATTTATATATTTTACATATAAATAACTCTTTCTATTAATATGGGAATATTGGGTGGATTATAAATTTTAATTTATATATTTAGAATATAAATACGAATTTAATTATTAAAATATAATATTAATGAATATTTTATTATTTATATTATAAATAAGTTTGGTTTTTGTGTATATGAGAATTAATTAGGTTATATTAAGGAGAAGGGGATGGAATTTTGTCGGATTTTTTTTGTATTAAGGAAAAGATTATTCGGAGAATTAGATAATAAAGAAGATGTTCGATATATATTTGTTTTTATTGTTATTTTGAGGTTTCCAGAATTAATATTTGGAAATCTTTTTGAAGGCTTAGAATCTCCTAAAATCGGAATATAAACATTGGAATTTATATATATTTTTATAGAGGATGAATATTCTTAATATAATAATATATTTAATATTTAATTATAATGTTAAGATAAATTAAAATAAAATTGATATCAAAATAATTTGTTGGATTAATTGCTAAATCCTAAAGATATTAAAAAAAATGTGTTAAATTTTGTTTGATTGAAAAATAAAACATATAATAATAGAATGTTATATGTTTATATGTTTTTTATTATAATGGTTTCGATAATTAACCATAAATTATTTTTTATAATTTAATTTATATTAAAAATATATTTTAATATTTAATAAATAATTTCATAAATTATTATAATTCTAGTTTTCATAAATTAATTTAATAAATATATTAATAATAATAAATAAATTAATATTTAAAACAAACATTAAAAATAATTTTAATAATATTTAAATATTCGAAAAATAATTGAAAAATAAATGCACCTTTATAAAAAATAATAATGATTCTATTACGAGCTAGATTAATATTCTGCAATCCATATATCATTATAATAGCCTTCGTAATTGGTATATTATTATATTTTATTTATTCATATATCTATTAAACAAAACCCAATTCAATCGAAACCAATATAATAATTATTCAAAATCAAATACCAAAACAATTTCAAATATATTTAAATAATATAAAAATACAAATACCACAAAAATTGTATAAAAATAATTATCTCCATCAATTATCATTTATTATATATTATATAAACAAAATTCTATTAAACATATTCTATACTATTTATTATAAAATCTCCATAAAAAATACATAAATTCCAATCATAATATTCCATATACATAAAATATAATAAATCTATTATATAATATCGAGAAAAACGAATATAATATCTATTCTAATATATATAAAACCAATAAATGAAATTCACAATCATCAATTATTTTATAATTATAGAAATTTCATAAATAAATAAACAATCTAATTACCTTTAATGCATCTATACTTTACAATACACAAAATAATAAAATACACACATTATAATTAATATAACATATTATTCCAATAAAAACGATTAATAAAACCATATACAACATATTTCATACGTATACCTATATATATATATATATTAAAAAACAAGATAAAATATCAATAAACCATTATCCGTAAAATCTCATTCATTATCCATAAAATTTCGTCCATTATCCATAAAATCACAAACCCAAAATAACATTTAAATATCCGATAATAATATCGTATAATAATATCGCTATTCAGATTCGCCTTTTACGGACCCTTTTAATATATAACAAAAAAATAATCATATCAAACAACAAAAAGGAAAATTCTTAAGCTACCAAAATCAGAGCCATATACAATAAAATATATTTGTTAAAATATATATTCTTTAAAACAATATCAACATACTAATTAAGAAATATACTAAGCCATTTACTTACCACAACAACGAGCTTAAGTATACTAATTTCATCATAAACGAGACAATTGCGACAATAAAGGAAAATAACGAAGCTATATATAAGTATCGATCATAAAAAAATGTATTCAATAGAAGCTACATAGATATTCCCATCGTCCATCGTGCCCAGCCCCCCCCCCGGTATGGGTCCATCCAGGGGGGGGGCACCCTAGCCCCACCCCCCCACCCCCACACAGAGGGGGGCTTGTGGGGCGGCTTACTCCAGTGCGCGCGCGACGTTGCGGGCGCGTTTGCTGCGCTGTTCGTGTGCTGCGCTGCAATGCGATTTGCTCATTTTGCAGCACGCGACAAGTTGCAGCGCTATCGCAATTAACATGCGCGATGCCACGACGCAGTTTGTGGTTTGCAGCGCCGCAACCCAGCGGGCGGTGTGGGAACCATGGTCGCGGGAAGGTCACACTGTGCTACCATTCTCCCATCCCCATTCCCACAGGGGGGCCGGGGGGGGGGGGGTGGGATCCATGGACCCTCCCCACCCATCCCACAGGGGGGCGGGGGGCCTTGTACGGTCATTGTGCTACCTTCTTGACTGAGCATGACCATTGGGGGTTGGGGGGGGGCCAAGGAAGCCTGGAACATATATGTATATATGTATATATGTCTATATGTATATATGTCTATATACAAGATTTTTGTTTATGTTGTTAAATTTGTTTTGGATAAATTCGGCACTGATCTTCAGGTGCGGGATCGCAAATTGCCGATATCTTGTACATTGCCTATGTTGCTCACCAAGGGCAAAGCCAAATTGAGGACGCGTCCGAGTGTAGCCCCAGTTGGCAAGACTGCAGCATCTACAATAATCACATCTGATCAAATCTGGGGACGTGTACTGGGCATGCGCAAGGTTTCAGGACACGGATTCGTCTTCTTTGGATGCACTTCGCAATGCGGGCAGCAATCGGCATTCAGAACACCCCAAATGACCAACGGTGCATGGCAAAGTTCATGCACTTCATGAATCTGGGGATCTGGGGCTTGTTCCAAATTGGGTGGGCACGGGTGCGCGCCACATGCAGGGAAACTTTCAATTTCCCAATTCCAAGGGTTCACAAGGGCTGACGAATTGACGCAAGTGATCCTGTGGGTTGGATTCACCTCTGCACAGAACCGGTTGGATTTCACCAACCGTTCACTCCCGTTCAACGTCATGGTTGTCCCACGCATCTGAGAAACATAATGACCTGCCCCATCAAAAAACCCACCTGCAACACCCTGCGGGGTGAATTAGCTCAGTTCCAGCGCAGCCCGCGGCTCGCTTTGTTCCTTGCAAGAGCTGTTTTTGGGCGATGACCCGCAGTGGAAATATGGAGCAACACATGGCCCTCCCACAATGCGGGCAGGTCCAAGCTATGGTATCGTGTCCGGGACCCGTTGTCTTCACTTTGCATTCATTGTGCTCGTGAATTGACACACCATCCCATAGCTGACCGATGACTCATGTGGCCAGCCCTCCTCTCTCTGCCGCACATTCCTTTGGGTCTGTTTCTTAAATCTCCGCTCCTTGGACCAAAAGATACAAACAAATCCAGATAGATTCCCTTCAAACAAAATATTAATTTCAGCAAATGGAAGCCCAGTTTCTTTTCCTTGGTCCTTGCGTCCTCCCCCCAACGAAAACGAAGACCACGCAACATGAGACACCCGTCGCGCCCAGCGCCTGTTGGCGATCGCCTCCCGCGCGCGGTAGCCGGCGCAGTCCGCCCAACTCGCCTGTGCCGGGTTGTTTACTTCCATTTGGTTAAGGCCCCAGAGAAAAACGAGAAAATATGTCCAGTAGTGATGAGAATGTTCTTTTAAACCCAAGGGAAAATAATTATATATATATATATCCCCCGCTAAAAGTGACTAACTTTTAGTGGGTTAAATGGAAACTACTACTAAACACTAAAAGGTTAACTGGCTAAGGGGATGGCTGGGAGCCACCAAGTTAGTCAACCGCAGTTTATTGATAGAGGGGTGTTCCCTCCAAAAGGGGTCTGATTCCCCACACCCAACACCACCCCCCTATTAATGGTCAACATTACTCACTTGCCCAAAGGACCTGGAAATACAAGGTGATCACCTTTTGGAACCTGTACTAAAAGTCGACAAAAAAAGGAAAACAAAAGGTCAAAAGGTCGGCTTTGGGCAAGTGAGCGTAGGGAAACCAAGGAAACCATACATCCCCATGGGATTGTTCATTTGGAGCAAAAAACACAAATTCAATTAGCTGAAACTCCTCCAGAAACAGGGGCTGGAGTTGGCAATCGCACTTAACCTGCAATCTGTAGTTTCTCTGCGACAGAACTTCCAAGCTGAAAATACACACTGTTCTCACTTCTTTGTAGATATGCCGCATTCCAACCAAAAGTCGCGGAGGCTGTTGCAAACAATTTGCAAAGCATTTGGACAAGATTGCTCAAACAAGCAGACCTTGGCCCCCTTTGTACGCCGCGCAAGCCCAAGCAAACAAAACAAGCTGCCCTGAATTCACCTTGAATCCACCCCGAGCCCCCTAAGCCCACCCTCAACCCGTCGAGGGCCACGGATCCTCCGCGCCTCCAATGTGTCTAAGGCGGGGCTCATGGACTCGCGCCGCAAGCCTGTCATGATCAAAGCCGTCAGCAAAAACAACTCAAGAAAACAACTCAAGAAAACCAACGGACGGATAGGCAACGAGGCAAAGACGCAAAGCAAACATAAACGCACAACACAACATACGCATAAGCAATCCCACAGGCACATACGCACAAACAACACAACTGCTGGCAATATGTTGGGTAGACGGGTGGAGTTTGCCGGGACCCGCAACGTAATTTGAAGGGACTGAAAATGGGCAATGTCGTTTCGCATTGGTTTTTGCAGTATACTCCGACATGCAGGCAAGCGTACGCGGCTGACAGGCGCAAGGGATTGCTGACTGGTCTTGGAGGTTGATGCGGTCAAATGTTCAGGTATTCTTTGAATGCCTGAACTAGTGGCTGCAAAGATGACCTGAGAGTCTGAGCTGCCAGCCTCTTGTACGCTGGCCTTTGGCTTTATCCATCTTTGAACCTCCTGAGCTGTCTCTGGCAGACCGGGAGCTGTCCTGTCTCTTTATGATGGCTTCTCAACGAGACCGAGGTACACCGTTTGCCAACCCAAGTCCTCTCAAAGCCTTCTTTGCTGACAGTTCGCGCACCATCGAACTCAACGATGCCAGGTGACAGCGTCACAGCAGGCACTGAACGAAGTGAAGGTCCTCCAAGTAAAGCAACGGAACCGCGAAAGCAGGCGCAGACGAAAGCCAGCAAGACGAAGCAAGATCAAGGAGAGAGCAAAGAGACAAGGCAGATACTGCATGAGGCTAACGGCTGTCGGTGAGCACGAGAACTACGTGAGCTGGCCTGTCCCTGCGTGTCCCTGCGCGAACTCAGTGCAGAACCATCCCCCCCCCCCCCCCGCGAACTGAATGCAACCCCCCCCCCCCGCGAACTCAGTGCAGAGCCATCCCCCCCCCAACCCCAGATCTGGGTCCGAGCACACACACACACACCCACCCACCCGTCTACCCAATATGTTGCTACGTGCAAAGCCCATAAGCTTCTCAAACAGATATCATCTTCATGGACGACCCCACTTGCGAAGCAAGCAAGGTTCTTGGGAACGTCGAGGCCTAACTAGGTCCTCCAGTAGAGAGGATAGAATAAATAAGGCTACCAACTTTTTTTTCTGCAGTCTATTTTAGTAGGGGAACCCTCCCCCAACAAAGGGTAAAAGGGCACTACTGGGGAGCTAGCTAAAAACGCGAAAAAAGAAGAAACAAATAAAGAAAAGAAACATCCGCGGCCGGGGGGACAGCAACCCGGAGCAACCCCCCGCCTAACGCACTGGGCGCCAAGGTCCCCTTGGAGCCTCCCGCCAACAGGGTGGGGCCTCAGCTGGCTGCCATCTCTCTCAGCTCCAAACAGGCTAAGAGTCTAGTGGGGAGTTACTTCCCCATTTTTCCAGGGATCCGGATCCGGTTTTTGAAAAGAACGATGGTTGAAAAGGTTAGACGGGATATGGAGCCGCTCTCTCGCCACTATACAAAGGATATACACTCCAATTAAGTTCCTCTGAGAGTGGTTTGGGGGTAGTGGATACCATCTTAGAAACAGGGAAAACGATTAGTAGAGAACCAGCATGCCTCTCAAACTTGTGCCATTGCAACGCTTGACGAACTGGCTTTGTTCAAAATAAGGGATTCTGAATGCTCTGTGATCCGTAGTGGGACTTCAAGGGAAACCACCATCCGGCAGGACTGACTCTGAACAACCCAGCATATGTCCCTAACCAAAAAGCAGCTGCCCAGTGACCCTGATTCGCGAAGAACTCTTTTGTTGATCAAAAATGGCCCCCAAACTGACCATGGATAACTTTTCTCATGTAAGTCATCTTTGGTGGTTTCCTCAACGGTTCTATGTTCACCGGACCTTCTGATCAACCCCCATTTGGTTGCTTGATCACTCCCATGTTTCCGGACACGCCTCAGGTTCGCGCCAGCTTCGGTGCTTTCCAGCAGGGCGGGGATCGGCGGCTTCGGGGAGCTCGCTCTTGCAGGAGCCTTTTCGGAGAAGACCGAGACGTTGTTCTCCTGACATCAACCGAGGCCCTTCGCCCTCAAATGCGAACGGTTGCTGCAAGGACCCCCCTGCAAAAAGTGAATCACTTTTTAGGGGTTTAGTGGAAACCCCCTTGATTTCCCAAAAAGTTAAAGTCTAAAGATCCAACCCAACAGCAGTCAAGAATGGGCGGATCATGGTTGCTTGACTCCCAAAAAATATGCCCCGCGAGTGAATCAAGCGCAGCAAACAAACCCAGGAAGGTTCCGGTCAATTACGGCCCCCCCGAACGCTCTTTACCCACATCAAAAAAAGCATGGGTAGGTGTGGGTAGGTTCAGGGTAGAGTTGGGATGGATTAGACCTTCTGAGTTGGCTGAGGAACATATTTTGAGCCTTGACTACGATGAGCATGTTAAAACAACGGGGTTAGTTTACAATAGACTTCGTATTGGGATTAAGGCAAGTTTAGGATAGATCTAGAGTTGAAAAGGCTGGTTCACTCATTGCCTTCATTGCCTTCATTGCCTTCCTTGCCTTCCTTGCCTTCCTTGCCTTCCTTGCCTTCCTTGCCTTCCTTGCCTTCCTTGCCTTCCTTGCCTTCCTTGCCTTCCTTGCCTTCCTTGCCTTCCTTCCTTCCTTGCCTTCCTTGCCTTCCTTGCCTTCCTTGCCTTCCTTGCCTTCCTTGCCTTCCTGCCTTCCTTGCCTTCCTTGCCTTCCTTGCCTCCCTTGCTTGCTTGCTTCCTTCCTGCCTGCCTTCCTTGCCTTCCTCCCTTCCTTGCTTGCTTGCTTCCTTCCTTCCTTCCTGCCTGCCTTCCTTGGCTTCCGTGCCCTTCCTTGCCTTGCTTGCTTGCTTGCTTCCTCCCTTCCTTGCTTGCTTGCTTCCTTCCTTCCTTCCTGCCTGCCTGCCTTCCTTGCCTTCCTCCCTTCCTTGCTTGCTTGCTTCCTTCCTTCCTGCCTTCCTTCCTGCCTTCCTTCCTTGCCTTCCTTGCCTTCCTTGCCTTCCTTGCCGTCCTTGCCTTCCTTGCCTTCCTTGCCTTCCTTGCCTTCCTTGCCTTCCTTGCCTTCCTTGCCTTCCTTGCCTTCCTTGCCTTCCTTGCTTTCCTTGCCTTCCTTGCCTTCCTTGCCTTCCTTGCCTTCCTTGCCTTCCTTGCCTTCCTTGCCTTCCTTGCCTTGCCTTGCCTTGCCTTGCCTTGCCTTGCCTTCCTTCCTTCCTTCCTTCCTTCCTTCCTTCCTTCCTTCCTTCCTTCCTTCCTTCCTTCCTTCCTTCCTTCCTTCCTTCCTTCCTTCCTTCCTTCCTTCCTGCCTGCCTGCCTGCCTGCCTGCCTGCCTGCCTTCCTTGCCTTCCTCCCTTCCTTGCTTGCTTGCTTCCTTCCTTCCTGCCTTCCTTCCTGCCTGCCTTCCTTGCCTTCCTCCCTTCCTTGCTTGCTTGCTTCCTTCCGTCCTGCCTTCCTTCCTGCCTGCCTTCCTTGCCTTCCTTGCCTTCCTTGCCTTCCTTGCCTTCCTTGCCTTCCTTGCCTTCCTTGCCTTCCTTGCCTTTCTTGCCTTCCTTGCCTTCCTTGCCTTGCTTGCTTGCTTCCTCCCTTCCTTGCCTTCCTTGCCTCCCTTGCCTCCCTTGCCTCCCTTGCCTTGCTTGCTTGCTTGCTTCCTTCCTTCCTTCCTTGCTTGCTTCCTTCCTTCCTGCCTGCCTTCCCTCCTTTCTTCCTCCCTTCCTTGCTTGCTTGCTTGCTTCCTTGCCTTCCTTGCCTTCCTTGCCTTCCTTGCCTTCCTTGCCTTCCTTGCCTTCCTTGCCTTGCTTGCTTGCTTCCTCCCTTCCTTGCCTTCCTTGCCTTCCTTGCCTCCCTTGCCTCCCTTGCCTTGCTTGCTTGCTTCCTTCCTTCCTTGCTTGCTTGCTTGCTTGCTTCCTTCCTTCCTTCCTTCCTGCCTTCCTTCCCTCCCTTGCTTGCTTGCTTGCTTGCTTGCTTGCTTGCTTGCTTGCTTGCTTCCTTCCTTCCTTCCTTCCTTCCTTCCTTCCTTCCTTCCTTCCTTCCTTCCTTCCTTCCTTCCTTCCTTCCTTCCTTCCTTCCTTCCTTCCTTCCTTCCTTCCTTCCTTCCTGTGCACACTGTTGTTCAATCCTGCCAAGTTGGCTTTGATTCATCCATTCGGTGGGTCGTCTGTGCAGCCTGCTACAGCACGCAACGACCCACACACCTCCGCTACAGATTCATCACAATGGACAATTTCCTATACTCATTGACCAGGAGGGTTGTTAATCCGGGGTCGATATGGATGGCAACCACTCAAACAATCCCTGATGAGAAACATTACGTAATACTCAGCACAAGGGATCGGCTACAACATGCAGTACTCGCGTCTAAAGTGGGCGCATGATTTGAAAGTTGGAGTTGTCAAAACTTAAACTTCAATTAGGTCGTTTCATGTTGCTTCTCTTTAATCATTGTCCCCAAGAGTCTCTGTACGAAGCTTGCGCACACAGGGCTGCGGCCTCTCAGCGTTTAAAACCCATGCAGAAAGGAAGCAAGCGTCAGCTGAAACCACTTACATCCCGCAGGGTGAATCGGGCCTTTCCCTTGACACCCCCTGACCTTGGTCCAGAAACAGTACTAAATGCTCGGCTTTGAGCCGCAGTAAGTCCGAAAGGTTGCTTGGACATTCCTATTATTACAGGACTCCAATCGGCAGCTCCTTAGCTACCTCTACAAAAGCAAAAAATTGGCTAGTTTCGCTAGATTATGCCCTCCGCACCCAAGATCTCACAGTTAGGCCAGTTTGAGGGGGTTACTATTTCTAGCAACGCCCAAAATCGCTGCACACCAGCTAGATTCTCCCCTCCACACCCATGCGATCAAAAACATGTCCGTCCTGGTTCCGCACCCGCGGGGACTTCACGTCCTGCCATTCTCTCAAACTTGCCGCGCTTTGACGTGGCTTTGGGGCGCCAAAAAAGCTTCATCCCAACGAGTGTGCTCCCATTCTTTCCAGCTAACCCTCCCTTCCACTAACAACGTGCCTTTCCAGCTAACCCTCCCTTCCACTCACATAGCACCTGTGGGAGGGTACCTGGAAGATCATTTCCCTCGTGTAGGACCCCCTGTCAGGTGCCATGCTCAAGTGAAGGTAACCACTCAAAATTGGAGCCAAAGAGCGGGAATTTGCTGGGGCTTCTGTTGGGCTCGCTTGTTTCTGCGATGGAGGACGCTCGCTGCCATTTCGAGAATCGGCGAGGGCAATGACATCAAAAAGCAAGGAACAACCAAGAGATGCAACGCGGTGTGTGCATTGACATTCGGGTCACTCAGGAGCAAAGAATTGAAGGTCTTGCAAGACTGATCGCTGGCGCAACAAACAAAGTCGACGGATTCTGGGAAGTTGACTTCCATTTGCTTAAGCCCTCTGAAACAAATAAAAATATGTCCAGTAGTGATACATTCCCTTTAAAACCAACAGGGAAAATATTCTTAGCAAATGGAAGCTGACATTCTTTCCACATGTCACACCCACGCTGCAGGCGTAGCATAAGCGTAGCTCGCTTCCCTAGCCTAGATCCTCCAGTAGAGAGGCTAGAATAAGGGTACCAACTTTCTTCTGTAGTCTATTCTAGCAGGGGAACCCTCCCCCAAAAAAGGGGCAAAAGGGCACTTCTGGGGGACCTAGCAGCATGGCCGTGGGTCAAACATCGGCCCAAATGGAATTCTGGTGAATGGAAACAAGGACTAACACCTGTGGTCCGATTCCTGGTGGTTAATCTTGACCCATACCCTTATGAACTTTAATTGGAAACCATTTTGGCAGACATGGTTTACATGGATGCACATCAACCATCCGAGTTTGAGGGCCAATTTTTCGCCACTGCAATGCTGAGTACCCGCTCCTGCCGGATCTTGTGCTCAACCAATTCCCACCGCAAGATGTTGGACTGGTTCCTCGAGAAAGTCTCAAAACAAGCATACGCCTTCCGCGGAAATCAGCACATGATCCAATCTTTGGAGATTCCTGGCATCAGCAACTTAACAATGCACCGCTGCAGCCAAGAACAGCTCCAAGCATGTGTCTGATAGGATAGTATTGTATGGTGCAGTTATAACAAAACGATATTTTCAAATGTATACACTTTAAGTCACTTTCCAGCTGAAATCTTCGACAAATACTACGTATTCGTTTTCATCCGTTCCTTTCTCATCGCAGCGAGCGAGCGCTTCGTGCCCGAAACCTCAGGGCGCGTGTGCGCAAGGCCAGCTTGGATCGATTTGTCCAACTCAGCCAGTTGCGCACGCAAGTCCTTGGCCTTCAAAATGGCCGTCATTTCAGGCGTCCACTGCTCCTTGATTGGAATCTCGGCGTAGCCCAGGTGGCGAAGCGAGCGCGTCTCCAGAGTCGAGCCGGTCATGCGCTGCAGGTAGAGCGTCATGTTCTCCGGCTCCTGTTTCAGCGAGATGTAGTTGGTGAGTGGGAAGAACACCGAGCCACGCCGGGGTGCTGGTAATCAATACGGCGGCCAGCCCTCTGAGTGACAAAAAACCACGCGTGCTCGCCGTTGACCCTGCGCAGAGCCGGGTCCCACTGCACTTGGAGCATCACGCACTTTTTGGCGTCGCTCTGTTTCACGTACCCGCCCTTTTCCCATGCATAATCCGCCACTGATAGCTTCCAATCCACCGTGAAACTGGGCTCAGAATCATTTTGACTTGCTGCTGGCCATTTTTCCGCTTTTGCAATCTTTTGAATGCTCTGAACAAATCTTGGTCGCAGGTTCGTTCACTCTCAGCGCCCGTGTCCCCGCGCGGCTGGAAAACCAGGTCGATGAAGCTTCGTCATTGCCGTTGCTGTCTGAGTGGTAACAGCAGCCAGCATGCGCGTGTCTGTCGTTTGATTTTGGAGGTGGACGGAGTCTTCACAAAATTGGGCTCTGATTTACTTGTATTTGCTCTTTCGTCCCCTGATAAAAAAAAATATCCGAACACATGTCCAGTTCGTGACCAATTCCCTTGAAAGCCAAGGGAAAACACCGCAAACCATAATTTTCAGCGACATATGTTCCCTTGAAAGCCAAGGGAAAAAAACACTCCCTCAGACTATCACGGAAGCTCCCTCAATTGGCCTCTGTAAATGGAACCAAGTCTTCCAAAGGTGGGAGCTTCCATGTTGGTCTGGGGGAAGGTACAACAAATCTCATTTCAGCGGATGGAAGTTCTATGAACCCATGGCTAAGGTCCAGCCAGTTGCGCTGATTTCGCACTGGGCGCCCCGGCCGTTCCGGTGAGCGCCGCGGCGATGACTTGGTGTCGCCTACTGGGCTCTTCGGTCGAGGAGATCCTCGACTAAGATATCTGGAAATAGGGAAATGTTCAGTTTCCATATTACATAAGAGATAGAAACATATATATATATATATATCTTCATATAACACGTGTATATATATATATAATTATACATGTATATATGGGCGCCGTCTGTAATTGCATGTCTAAAATTTATGAACAGCGGCAACTTGTTAAACCGCGCGATTGGTAAAACTCGAGCCGCGGAAGGCCGGCGATTGGACCGCGAAAGGGCAAACAATTTATTATGAGTTTAGACGTTGCATGGTGCCGACGCACGTCTCGCTGATTTTGCTTGCGCGGGCTCGAGGAAAAGTTTCCTTTGGAGTCCTGAAAGTTGATTTGGTTTGCGCAGGGCCAGACAGTGCTTTCCAAATCTGCTTGCTGGCAAGGGCTGGAAGCTGCAAACCGAAGTTTCGCCGCCGAATTCCACGATTGGACCGCGATTGGACGGCGATTGGACGGCGATTGGACGGCGATTGGACGGGGATTGGACGGCGATTGGACGAGTTCCACCAGTGAGCCCCTTCCCATCCGAGCTACGTCACTTCCTTCCTTCTTCCAGTTATATAGAGGAAGGCCAGCGCTTGAGATAAGACGGCGGAACTTGAAACAGAAACGGCAGCGATGCCCAACGTTGCTCCGCGATTGGACCGGGCGGCGATTGGGGGGTTTCCAGGCAAAGTAATTGTGTACAACCCCCACATACATATATGGCCATGGGTCAAAAGCCCGTACCCCCAGTGAACATCCCAATCCGCATTAAATTCGTTCTAAAATGGGTGGTGAATTCACCGAAAACCAAAATAGAAATAGGTTCTAAAATGGGTGGTGAATTCATTGGTTTTGACAACCACAGCCATACATAATTATATATAGCAATCACCAATGATCACCATTGATCACTCAAACGAAACGCTAGGACTGTGACTAGGTCCGCCAGCAGAGAGCTTAGAATAAGGCGACCCACTTTTTTGCCGTGGTCTATTTTAGTAGGGGAACCGAGCCTCCCAACCAAAAAAGAAACGGTAAAAGTTGGCACCTAGTTGGGGGACCTAGGTGACGTCCCTCTCCCACGTGGCCATCCCAAGAGGCCCGACTGCGACGGCTGGGGCTGCGAGCCTGGCGCATCGCACCAGATCGTGGAGGAGTTCCTGGCACACGCCAAGTGACCCCAGAGGAAGCAACCAGCTCGTTTAGGGGGGTGTCTAACTGGGTGTGGGGCAACAGACCTTTCTGAATAAACTGGGGTTGAATGAACCAACCCCAAATGAATCAAATGACCCCAACCGAGCTGTATTTGACCGTTTTACAAGTTCCAAAAGGTGATCACCTTGTATTTTGGGTAAGTGGTAATGTTGGCCATCAATAGGGGGTGTCCAACTGGGTGCGGGGCATCAGACCACTTTTGTTGGGGACCACCCCTATGAATAAACTGGGGTTGATTGATATGGGTTCAACATTACTTTGTAGTGTTTTGCAACGCTTGCGGCTTCAAGATTCCCCGCCACTTAAAAACCGAGAGGTTTCCCTTTGACTTGAACTTGCTGTCTATCAAAAAATGGCGATACCATCTATGGACATGAGAAAAATACTGTAGAGTGTCCCCACTGGTTGTTGTGAGACATTTTGAGAGACCCCCAATGTCCCACCCAAGTTGACCACAACATATCCGATCCCCATATGGCTGTGGTCAAAAACAGGTACCCAAAATGAATTGCCCTGGTAAATGGAAACATGGACCAAAACTTGTGCCACCACCCTAGTGGTATTATATATCTTGACCCATACCCATTTGAGCGCGCCTTTTCGGCGTTATAAAGAGAAAACCGAAGGACAGTCACCATTCTGGGGGGTCGCCTAAAAAACAACACACCCATAAGAACTCAAAAAGCTCAGATGCCCAGTGGCCGTGGGGAAAAAAGGGCATCCTTTTCAAGTTGGTTGAGTTTAAAGAACCCCTCCCCAAAAAAAATGGAAAAAGGAAGCGACCCACTGGGCAACTGGGGACACGACGTCTTCAAGAAAGGCAAGTGGCCATGGGGCATATCCTATGGCTCCATTTGGAGGTGGATGAACATCTATTTGCCACCTATTTTGATGTTCACCAGGGGTACCATTGGAAAGGACCCACAGCCAAGTCCCAAGGAGCCGTTTTCACTCGACCGCTGCCGGTCCGACCTGGCTGCTTGGTGGTCCGCGCGCGCGTCCCGCTGATCTTTATGCCAGACGTCCAGCGAGTCCATGCCTGGCGCGCCAACTCGACAAAACATCTTCGAACAATGAAAACGGCAAGGGGGTCATCTGCGGACGTGAAAACCGGTCATCTGCGCACGTGGTCGAAAACGGGGCATTTTGCATTCTGCGCACGTGTTTTCCGGTCATCCGCGCACGGTGCCCGGTCATCCGCGCACGTACCGCGGGGGGGGGGGTGGGGAGGGGGGGGGGGTAAGCTTCGACGTTCACGCGCACCAATTCAAGCAGGTGCAGGTGGGTGGATTGATGTTGATGGGGGGTGGGGGGTAAGCAATGTTCACGCAAATCAAGTGGGTGGATGGTAAGCATCGGTGGGAGTAGGGGGGGGGGGTGGCAAGCTTCGACGCTCACGCGAACCAACAAGAGGGTGAGTGGATGGTAAGCGTCGGCGGGCGCGGGTGGGGGGGGATAGGGGGGGGGGTGGCAAGCGTCGATGTTCGCGCGAACCAACTCACGTGGGTGGGTGGTAAGCGTTGGTGGGACGGTGGTAAGCTTCGATGTTCACGCGAGCCAAGTCACGCACCATGGGGGGGGGAGGGGTGGCAAGTGGGGAGGCCGGGCGGGGGGGCTGACACGCTTGGAAGTTGGATTGCTGGCCACTATTGGGGGGTTGGCTGCTCTTTTCGTTTTTCGTGAACAAAAAGTCCGGACTTTTTGGTAGTTTTCCGCCATTTCTGGAAATAACTGCTTGGCAGCTGGGGCCTGTCGCATTGATAAATTGAGTGGTTGAAGACGAAGTACTTGAGAAGCCAACCAAGCCAAAGCTGGGCCCCCGGCCTGACTTGAGAGACCCGAGTCCAAGCAAATCAACTGTTTGACCAGGGCATTTTCAGGGGTGAAATTTGGAGGTATGGCAGTAGCTATCCCTATAGATGGTATAACCTCAGCTCATTTAAAGCAGGTTTTGAGAATCGATTAACCCGATTGAAATTTGGCTTCTCTGGAAACCGGCACACGAGCCGGCCTCTTCTGGTAATGCGCAGCAGGCCCGCACGCCAGCGGTTGAGGGTATTTCCTTTCTCGAGATTTTGTTCAATACAACGTTACGTTGCTGTATTGCGTGCGTATCAAACATTCAAAGCAATAAGTATCAATAAAATTAAGTGCTATCACAAAGACAGAAAAAACAAGGCCTGAAGTCAGCCTAAGAATATGATCTAATTCACTTGTGGAATCACGTGGTGCCCAAGAAGACTGTCAAGGTCATTTGACTAATCTAGCTGAATCACTGCTGGAATCATGCGACGTTTGTAAAGATAACGATCGTACTGCGAACCTTCGTGATTTCAATCCAACTCGAACACACTTCCGGCTTCTGATGCGTGGAAGAACCCAAGCAAAACAGCTTTTTTTGGTCAGCACGTGCACAAATGACCAGGCCGATTTGCTGTAAATACCATGAATTCTGAACAAAACACCAAAAATACACGTGCACAGAAGACCGCTTGACCACGTGCACCGAAGACCGCCTCACCACGTGATCCATGAAAACAGCCCGAAACCTTTCCGGCAACACGGTTTGCGGTGTTTTTAGAGGAGTTCCCAAAAACATCGTAGACTCAAAAACATCGTAGACCGGCAACTCTCTGGCCACACAGACCTCAAAAACCCGGCAGTGCCCCTTGGGCGTTTCGAACCAGCTTCTTCTTCTTCGTCTCCAGGCGCCCCTGCCGGCACCGCGGAGGCCTGAGTCATGTGATTTGGCTGGGGGGGGGGGGGGCAGCCCAAGGGCTCCGATTTTTCTGGCTGAGCCTTAAGGCTCTATGAGAGGATGGGGTGGGTGCGTGGGTGCGTGGGTGCGTGGGTGCGTGGGTGCGTGGGTGCTTTGGTGCGTGGGTGCGTGGGTGCGTGCGTGCGTGCGTGCGTGGGTGGGTGGGTGGGTGGGTGGGTGGGGGTGGGGGGTGTGGACGGGTGGGAGGGTGGTCCGAAATTATTTGGGTTCCCTCAATAAACCTCCCTCTTTCCCTCCGCGGCGGCCCGGGGGGGGGGGGGTGCGTCCTCAATTCCACAATGCCATGCTTCTTTTTTAACTGTCTCGTTTCTTGGCATGTTCAAGGAAAAATCCAGGACCGTCGCCATTCTGAACAAGACGCGCCCCAACTCCGCAGCCAGAAGTCCTTGACAGGAGCACCTCTTCCCGGAAGCTCTCAGCTCTGCCTGCGGCCTCTGACGCGGGTCCCGACTTACTTCCAGACGTCCAAACCCGCTCGGTTCGGAGATTTCAACCGCGCGGTCTCCAAGTGGTAACGAAACCTAACCACCAAAACCTAACCAAGAAAATCAACCAAAACAACCCAACCAAGGAGACCTAACCACGAAAAACATAACAAACAGGTGCCGCGATCGGATGTTCCATCCGCAGCCATTTGGCCATGGGCCAAAATCCCGTACCCCCAGTGAGCATCCCTTTTTTCCCACTAAAATAGATTCTAAAATGGGCGAAGTCACCTACCAACCAAAATGGGATCCCATTGGTTTTGCCCACAGCCATATGAGAACTCGAATACACTCAGATGCCCAGTGGCCATGGGAAAAACAAACATCCTTTTTAAGTTGGTCGAGTTTAAAGGGAACCCTTCCCCAAAAAAAGTGGAAACAAGGAAGCAACCCACTGGGCAACTGGGTACACTAACACTACTTCCAGTTGGTTGCGGCCTCAGGAAGAAACATATTTCCAGTAGCGATGAATTCCATTTAAACCCAAGGGAAAATAAATAAAACAAAAAATATTCATTTCAGCAAATGGAGGACTACGTCTTTCCGAAAGCCAAGTCCCAAGGAGCCGTTTTCCTCGGGGCCGGGCCCAGCAAGCGCTTCAAAGGCCGCGGGCTCGCGCGCCGCGCCACGGCCAGATCCTCGGAGAGAGGACCCGCAGGCCCCCCAAAAAAACGACGAGGTGCCCCAGGCAAATGGATAGAAAATTCGTAGGGGAGCCCGTCCCCCAGGGGTGTTGCTGTTGGTATCTCTTTTAAGCTAACCTAAAAAATGGAACCAAGCCTCAAAAAATACAGACACCCCCATATGGGGGTCCCCCTATTTTAGCACACCCCCATAGATTGTCAATAACAACATACACTGGTTGCTCCACAATGTGCTGATTGGCAAAGTGAAACTGCAGCCCCAGAGAATTCAAAGGGAATCCAGAAGGAAGACCGCCAATTATTTTTATTTTGGGGGGGGCGGTCCTGAAAAAAACACGAAAACCACCCACATCCAGTCGCAGCCCCCATTCCACATGATTCATCACTGAGGAGAACTGTGTATCATGGTTCAGCACGCGTGTCATTATATGGCTGTGGCTCAAAAAACCGGTAGTAAAATGGAACCCTGGTCAGTGGAACCATGGACCAAAACCCGCGTAACCCCTCCTCTTTACATTTCAGCCATAGCCATATAGATTTCAACAGCCCAGTCGCCGGCAGGAAGAGATCTCCCTCACCGGTCGTTTTATGTCAGCTTCTTCAGTGGGCTATGTCCTGAAATGCAAACTGGGCTGCTCCACGGGAAGGGCGGAAGCAACAAGGGAATCAAACTCACTTCTCAGCATGGACATCATGGACCCAAAAGTCAACACTCATCCCCAGCGAGCAAGTCACATACACGCACCCAGGTAGAACAACTAGGTCCTCCAGTAGAGAGGCTAGAGTAAGGGTACCCTTTTTCTGTAGTCTATTTTAGTAGGGGAACCCTCCCCCAAAAAAGCTGGTAAAAGGGCACCCAGCTGGGGGACCTAGACAAGCCCACCCCACCTGGTGAGTCGTCTTCGTGATGGCCGTGGTGGGATTCCAGCGTGCATCCTCCGACGCAGCCGGGCGGTGGGCGCGAAATAAGATCCTACTGTGGATGGACAAAATCCTGCACCACCTTGAAACCGTGGGAAACCATGGCTGGTTGGTATTTGCAGAGGAGTCATCATTCCGGGGATCGTAGGTGGTGCAAAATTTTGTCCATCCACAGTTGTGCCCGTGCGAGTAGATAAGTCTGATGGTGAGTTTCGAGCAAACATTTTCAGTGCCTGGCTCTGGCTGTACACTAGATCCTCAGGACGTATGGAATTCGTGAACTCCAAGACACTGCTCCTTCCAACATTATAGGGCCTCATGCGGGTGCGTGGAGCCATCAGACTTGGGCGACTTGCTTCACAATTCGTGGTTTGCCCCTTGCCTTTTGTGGCAACAGTGCCCCTCATGGCGCAGAAACCCCTTTGAAGCCTTTCATTTTCCGCAAAGACCACAGAGTTGGCTAGCGCTGCCCCAATTAGGATAAGCGTCACTCGCATTTTGTTCGCGGGTCCCAGGCCGTTGCAACCAAACTGTCGCATTCCTGGCGTTGAATTTGCTCCCGGATCCCTCCCGGTCGCACCTGGCTTGTGGCCCTGACCCTGCCCCTGCCCTGGCGATCCAAGCGAGGCTCTGGACCACAGCGGAGAGGTAAGCAAACAGCGCTTGATAAGAAACCTCATCCTGCGAAAGACACACCAGTGGTTGCCCCTCAAGACAAAATGCGCAACCAAAGATTTGGGGTCTGCTCAGGTGAAGGAAACTCGGAAGACTAGTAACCGTCGCCTGTCATGCAGAAGCCACAAACGCAGCGATGGACTGAACACAGACTGGATCCTTTGGAGTGGCATCCTCAAATGTATCCTCAAAATGTTGTTTTTTTTCAGCGAAACAAAGGGACCCAGACACAACACCAAGGTCAGTCGCCACAGCAGGCGACAAACAAGAAACAATGAGGGACGTGAAAGGAATGCGACAAATGACTCATCCATGTCACAGCGATTGTGGCGAGTGTTTGGACAGCTGCATGGGGGGGAGGTTGAGGGTTCCGTTGCTTGGGCGTGTTTAAAGGGAACCACAAAGGACAGCTATACATATTCAAGGGGGTCCTGTAGTTGGACATGTTGGAACTTACCAGTCCCTTGCAGCTCTCCCGTCTGATGTCATGCCCACAAAAGCTAAGAGAATTTGTGGCCCCCATAACCGAGGAGAAGGGGCTGGAGAAACGTGGAGCTCACGATTCGGACTGATGGACAAAATCCTGCACCGCCTTGAAACCGTGGGAAACCATTGGTTGGTATTTATAGGAGAGTCATCAGAAACCAGGGATCCTTAGGTGGTGCGAACAGACTTCGTCCATCCACAGTACCAAATGCATAAAGTGCCGATGATTGGGAGTCCCATTTGGCTGAGACAACGCTGGCGATTGCGCTTCCATGCCTGTGGCGACTGGGATGTGCGGTTCCCCTGGGCCGGGGGATGGACAAGCTGGCCATGTCACCCCTGGCTGTTTCGCTGACATGAATCAAGCCAGAAGCTAAGAGTAAGACTCACTTGACAACTCCTAGCACCTCTTTCAAGTATCGTCTTCATGTCATTGCCACATGGAAGCATCAGCTGTTGGTACTTGAACGCAGCAAATGGGCATGTCTTTTTAAAAGGGTACCGGCTTTTTGTGGTTTTAGAGGGCCTGACGTGAAGAACGCCGCACATCAATTCGAAGCACCGGCGGCTGAGAGGCCCGCCTCCCAAAAGAGGCGCGGAGATGACCAGGCAGGAGCCTTCACCTGCCGAAACTGCCGAGCCCATCTCCGGGCAACTCAAACGAGCGCGCGCGGGGGGTGGGGGGGGGGGCAATTTCTGGTTGCGCCTTCAAGGCTGGCTAGTTGGCTCACATATGGGTGTCTCTTTTTTCGGGACCCCCTGCCCCCCCCCCCACCTGAAATGGTGGTTCTCCTTTTCAAAACCACAAAAAAAGGGGTACCCTCAAACAAAAAGGCATGTCTGCATCAAGTGCCTCCTACTGCTACCAGTCGCTTGGCCATCCCCTCGCAGGGCAGCAATGACAACAATGCCCATGATCTTCAAGCAAATTCTTGGCGCAGGAAAACAAAAACATGGCTTGTTCTCACATTGGGGGATTTATGCGCGTGTTTCTCCAGGACAAAGCTATAGCCCTCTATTTGTAGGCCTCGAATCTAAGGCAAGGCCCAAATCATCGTAGAAAGCCAGATCAATCAGCTTCCCTCTACATGGTGGTTTGGATTGGTGGTTTGGCGGTTAAGGAGGGGTTTCTCATGTACCCTCTACAAGAGCCAGGGGTTCAAAGCCCAAACCACCAATCCGAGCACCACCCTGACGGGTTACCTGAATCCACGACCCGGATCGAAACAAACCGCGGCGGCCTTCTCTCCCTCGCCAAAGAGGCGGTTGAAGGTCGTCGAGTAGTCCTGCGTGCTCAAAAAGCGCGCAGGGAAGCCGTCTGAAGGGTTAGGTGTACAGCCGGACTTATTGTGGTCTCCACGTCGTGAGCAGTACTGGTAGTACCTGGGGTCTGAACCGCCCCAACTCTAGTGGCCCGGCCAGATCTTACGTCCGAGTAGCATCGCGCTATTCTATACCATCGCCTTCGGCTAGGTAAAACAACAAACATTGCGCCCCTTATGCAATCTTTTTTCTGGTTCCATGTCGATTTGCAGGGCGGTAAAAAAGTAAGAATAGAGCACACATGCGAAGTTGCCCGCATGTCTTCTGTGTTTATGCTCAGTGACGTGCAAGCGACTCGGGCATCCCTCATGAACTGGCTGTGGGTCAAAGAAGTGTACCCAAAATGGAACCCTGGTAATGCGGTCCCCTGGTGGTTTAGTTTTGACCCATACCCTTCAGGGCTCACAGGCAAACATGCAGTTGACATGATGATGACTGGCTCGCCCTTTTTCAGGACACCTTTCCAAGGCACAAAAATACTCGAGGTGCCAACAAAAAAAGCCCGTCCACTTAAGGAGATAAACTCAGGCGATACTTGCATCGCGTGGATCGAAAGTCCTGCATGGCTCGAGCTCGCGCCAATGCGATGGTCTTGCTTTCTGTGATTTTTGTCGCCTGTGGCAAATTGAATGAACCATTTCAATTGCACACTAGTCCTGGCTTCGATGTTCTATCTGGCGTTTCGTCGCGTTTTGGCACCTTGCTCCTGAAATCAGTCCTCTTTGGTGCCTGAAGCTTCCGCCTGTTGGGCCGCAAGAGCTAGCAGCAGCTTCCTGCAACTTCCTAGCAGGACACGTGCACATCGGACAAACTCGCATTGCCTTTTTTGCACGAGCATCTCCTTCCAACCACTCCAAGGTCAAAGCCGAAAACCAGCTCCTCTGCCCGTGATCAAGTATCAACCACTTGCCTGAATGCCACGGAGAAAAAGCGAACGCCCCCCCTTTTTGGGCGAGAGACACGAAAGGGCGGCCTCCGTTTAGGAAAATCAGAAGAGTGCCACAGTGGAAAGAAAAAAGCAGCTTTGGGGCGACTCGCTGCACACTGCCACTTAAACGCCATCAGAGCAATCTTTCACCTCAAGTGACTTGGCAAACGCCAGTCGAGAGCAGATAAGAGGTACACATGTGGCTTACATTTGGGGTAGACGGAAAACAATATGCTTCAAACGCGGAACGAAAACAAAGGGTGGCGCAACATGGCATCAAATGGTGGCTCATAATGACATCAGCATCCCACGCAATGCTCTTGTTTTTGTGAAGCTTCCATGTGCCAATGCATCCAGCTTCCAGGCTGTACATCATTTCATATCTAGTTCTTCAGTGCTTTCCCTTTATTTACATTCCGTGGGAACGGTGGAACAGTCCCTCAACAGCCAAGCATGATTGAGTCACTCCACCCAAGCACAATGGAATCCTGCCTCGATGCAGTCTTATCATGGTTCACCGCTTGTTGAACACCTGAAGCCTTCAAGGATGCAGAGCTTGTCATGTCTTTCGCCTTCTGAACCTAGGTCCTCCAGTAGAGAGGTTAGAATAGGGTACCAACTTTTGTCTGTAGTCTATTTTAGTAGGGGACCCTCCCCTACTAAAGGCCTAAAAGGGCACTCGGGGACCTAGGAACTTCTTTGATTGACCCGTGAGAAAACCCGCGACTCCCACTTTTCCAGGCTTCACGCAATCTGAATCTGGCAACTACTTTCAGCCCTGACGCATCATGCGCTCGTAGACCTCGTCCGGCCGTATGGGAATCAAAACGAGCTTGAGAACTTTCCCTCTCTCGTCAATGGCTGTTCAAGCTGGTGGGTTGGCCAAACCGATTTCCCATAATTTTCTTTAGGGACTACAAAGGGGATCAAATCCTTGCGCAACCCAAGGCAACGATTTTCCGGAATTTCACGTCGACCCCCAAAAAAATCAACCCCAGTTTCTTCCTATGCGGGTGTGCTGCAGATTCGACGAATCCCCCCCAAAGAAACACCAAGAAAACCCCTTTCAAAAGGCTCGGGGTTGAGTATGGGGTCATTACCTTTGAGCAACCAGTCAAATGGAGTGACCGGAGTGAAAAAGGACCTGGCAAAAACGTCCTTAAGGGGGAAGAAAAAGAAGAAGCTGCGCCTCTGAAGCAACAAGACTCCTGTGTTGAGTGCAAGGATCAAAGCTACTCTTCGTGCATGCGCACTAGTGGTAACTTGTGATTGTACGGCGTGCCATACGTGACCCCTTTTACAGAAACATTGGACTCCTGCCACACAGTGGACTCCTGCCACTGTCCGTTGCTCTTGTATCTTCCAGGATGCACGGAACTTCGTTTGCAAAGTGCTCATGTTTCAAACTCGCCTTATTCCTCCAATGGAAACAAGGTCGCACCGGTGCCGTCCCCCATTTGATCCATTTGCCCTCGTTTCGCCAGAAGGACCCTTGAACTGGCAACACTCCGCCTACCATCAAAACCCGGTATTAAAACGGTCCATGCTTCAAGAATTAAGAAGCCGGATATCCGCAACTACTGGCTGGGACTGCCTTACTAACCTTCATCTACCTGGGTTTTGATTGCTGAAATGGAGCAAATGGGAATAATCACGGACATCTAGAACCTACAACACCCATACGTACCCCTCTGCCGAACCACGAGGCCCAGGCTGCTTACCAAAAAAGAATCGGATTGGTACAACCTCTGGGTGACTAGACCTGGGTGCCCATCGGTCCCATGCACTCCCGAATTCTTCGGCGGCCCCGAAAAATTTCAGGTGATGATCACGGAATCGCAGGTGGATCCCTTGGCAGGATGGTCCCAAGGCAATCTCCGAGCGCCCAGCCGCGCGGTTCTTCTCGTCCGCCTCTCGCTGCCGGACCCGAACCTGGCAAAGGGAAGAAGGCGCTTCCATTTTTACCTCTGCGCAGGTAAACAGGGATCCTGCATTATACACCTGAACATTGCCTTGCAAATCCCTTTATTTTGGTGGAAAACAGGGGGCAAAATGTATCTTTTAAGGAGCCCTGGATAAACAGGTGTCCTCCACTTGCTTCTTTCGTCCGAAAGGGGAAAAGGGAGAAACTATTTGCAGTAGGGACATCGATTCCCTTTTAAAACCAATAACGGAACATACAACATCTTCATGTCAGCACAAATGGAGGGAGTTGGTTATCTACTAGGGTCCCATTTCAGAGGGCCCCCTCTGTGGGGATTCTCTGTGAATCTAGAACGGATTTATCTGGGGGCCCATACCACAACAGAAAACGAGACCTACGCCTTTCTTCGAGACAAGCATAAAAAAGCCTACAAGCCTACAAGAAACCATACGGCTGGCGCCGAATTGAGCTTGACGGATGAGTCGGAGACTTCCCCGCGCAAAAACGAACGATCCCATTTGATCCAACAAGCTTTGGCCCCAGCAAAAAACACGCGGCATAAACCCGGCTGTCACCAAACCCTCTGACGCGCGCATCATCGCCACAGGCTTTACGTTTCGCCCCCCCCCCCCCCCCCCCGCCGTGGTTGGAGATTGCAAACGGGTTTCCGCATCCTTTCGGCCTTGAATTTTCAACCACGCCGAAAAACCTCCCACCCCGCAACCTCTCCCACCTGCCCAACCTCCCAGCTCCGCCACAACCAAGCCCCTCGCAACCTCTCCCCCATCTGCCCCAACCTCCCTGGACTAGTTCGTCTGAAGCGACTAGTAAATTTGTCCGTGGACTTTTGCCGGCATTTCGATCTTCCGCCTCCGCATAGCGCCTTTTTTTTCCCCCCCGCAACGCCCTCGTTTCCCTTGCTTCTTCAGCTTCTTGGCCTTCTTCTCGGGGAACATTCGGCCATGGGTCAAAACCCCGTACCCCCACTTAACATCCCAATCATTTTGATCCATGGCCATTTATTTTCTATTTTCACCCTCCAAACCTTCTTTCAACCCTTGCCTGTTTTTTTGAACCCTTCACCCTTTGTATTTAACCATCTCCCCCGTCTTTCTTAAGCCTCCCCCCCTTCTTTGTTAACCCTCCCCCCTTTCTTTCTAACCCTCCACCTTTTCCTTTTAACCCTCCACCTTTTCCTTTTAACCCTCCATCTCTGCTTTGCCAACCCTTTGGCCAAAGCCCGCGCCAACTGCACTAAGCAACGGTTTAGGGTTGGGTTGGTTTAAGGTGGTTTTGGATTTAAGGTGGGATCAGGGCGGGGTTTGGGGTTGGTTTCGGATGAGAAGGGTGGGTTTACGGTTCCATTAGGATTGTTCGGCGGGCCTAGGGTTGGGTTGGGGGTAGAGTGGGCTTAGGTTGTTGTAAGTCGGGTTTAGGGCGGGTTTTTGGTCGGCTTAGGGTTGGTGTGGGGTTGGCTTAACCCGGGCCGACGGTGAGAAAAACAAGATTGGGGGGGGGAAGCAAGTTCGCGGGTGAGGAAAAAAGTGAAAAAACAAAAGGCGGAGGGTGAACAAAAGGGGTTGAACAGAAAGGATTTCCAAGGGTTAGAGAAACAAGGTTCCTGAAAACGGTTCCCAAGAAGGGTTAAAAAAGAATCCGACCCAGACCTAGAAAGTATCAAATCACGCATGCGGGCAAAGTAATCGTCCTATCATATTTGGGCTACAACTTGTCCAACAACTTGAACTTGGGTGCATTACATAACCTCCACCCCACCCCAACTCAAACTCCCTCCCTCCCTCAAACATACCAAACCTACCAAACCTCCAACTCCCTCCAAAACCCCACCACACAAAACCCACCAAAGCACCACCCCAAACCTCCAACTCCCTCCAAAACCCACCAAACCACTGCAAAAAACCACCAAACCACCACACAAAACCCACCAAAGCACCACCCCAAACCTCCAACTCCCTCCAACACCCACCAAACCACTGCACAAAACCATCAAACCACCACACAAAACCCACCAAAGCACCACCCCAAACCTCCAACTCCCTCCAAAACCCACCAAACCACTGCACAAAACCATCAAACCACCACACAACACCCACCAAAGCACCACCCCAAACCTCCAACTCCCGCCAAAACCCACCAAACCACTGGACAAAACCACCAAACCACCACAAAAACCCACCAAACCACTGCACAAAACCACCAAACCACCACACAAAACCCACCAAAGCACCACCCCAAACCTCCAACTCCCTCCAAAACCCACCAAACCACAGCACAAAACCATCAAACCACCACACAAAACCCACCAAAGCACCACCCCAAACCTCCAACTCCCTCCAAAACCCACCAAACCACTGCACAAAACCATCAAACCAACACACAAAACCCACCAAAGCAACACCCCAAACCTCCAACTGCACAAAGCCATCAAACCACCACACAAAACCCGCCAAAGCACCACCCCAAACCTCCAACTCCCTCCCAAACCCACCAAACCACTGCACAAAACCATCAAACCACAACACAAAACCAACCAAAGCACCACCCCAAACCTCCAACTCCCTCCAAAACACACCAAACCACTGCACAAAACAATCAAACCACACAAAACCCACCAAAGCACCACCCCAAACCTCCAACTCCCTCCAAAACCCACCAAACCACTGAACAAAACCACGAAACCACCACACAAAACCCACCAAAGCACCACCCCAAACCTCCAACTCCCTCCAAAACCC